TGTTGGCAAATCGAATGCCAATAAAAAATATACAAAAAAATGGGTAGCTCCCTGAATAGACATTTTTCCCAAGAATACTATAGATGGCCAACAGGCACATGCAAAAATGCTTAGCTTCACTGATCATTAGGAAAATGCAAAGCAAAAGCACAATGAGATATTATCTCACACTTTTCAAAATGTCTAGAATCACAGGGACATGACTGACTTTTTATTCAACAGAGATTTAATTCATGATAAAAAAGAAAATATATTAAACTAGCATATTTGCCTTAATTTTAAATAAATTCCCTAGGGTTATAAATGTATGAATTATAGTTACTGCCTTGAATATCTAAAATGCAGTTCTAGAATTTAAAAATATTGATCTTTTGGTTCAATGTTGAAGAATAAGTTATTCTGATTTATTAAAAATTTAGCATTAATTCTTTTTTCCAGTACGTTGCATTTTTTATAAAATAAAATATTCAAGAAAACTTTCTATTCTCACATACAAATATTTCTCATTCTTTTTTTTCCGAATTTTTATTTAATTTCCAGTTAGTTAAGATACAGTGCAATATTGGTTTGAGGAGTAAAATTTAGTGATTCGTTACTTAAGTACAACCCCCAGTGCTCATCATAACAGGTGCCCTCCTTAATACCCATCATCCATCTAGTCCATTCTCCATCCACTTCCCTTCATCAACCCTGAATTTGTCTATCTATCTTTAAGAGTCTTTTTGATGACTGCATAATTAATTCTGTTACATTGTAAACTCTCTTGAAACATTTCTAGTTTGGGCCACTTTTTCATTTTAGTAAGTATATTCTAATAAACACAAATTAATAATTATTTGATAATTAATTCCATCAAGTTGCCTTCAAGATTATCATTCAGAGCATAAGTACACATGGTTCAGGATAAAATTTTTGGAAATAGGAAAAAGAATCGTTACTGGTTCCAAAACCTAGTATAAAAATGTCTGTTTATACCGACATATATAGATACATATTTGTATGTGCTGAATAGAAAGTTTTCTTGAATATTTTATTTAATAAAAAATGCAACGTACTGGAAAAAAGAATTAATGCTAAATTTTTAATAAATAAGAATAACTTATTCTGTGTTATACCACATTCTCAACATCAAATTGTTTTTTTGCAACTTTCCTGTATCTAAAAAAAAAAAAAAGATATGAGTCGGGTACTAGGTAATGGAGTTTTAACTTTATAATATTTTGTTTAATTAACCCAGACTTCACTCAAGAAAGCAGAAAATTTAGTTTCATTGTGAAGTCTCAGCAATTTGTACTGCTGATACTTTTAATTGGAAACAGGATCAAGTGCCTGTTAAGACAAAGCTGAAAAATAAATTCCCAACTCTTCTTCCTCTTCCACTCATGCTGATTCATTGCTATTAACTGTAAATAACAACATGTGATGGGATGCAAGTAGAATGCCAGTTGTTCATGACTATTTCCTCATGCAAAACATTTCTCAGATTTAGAAAGACTCAGATGTGCTTCAACCAATTGCCTCAGGAATCTGGGGGGATTTTTAATGGATTTAATACATGAGTCATATTTACATAGGCTATAAACTTGCCTTTAATATATAATAATGACAGAAATGTTCTAAATCTGATTTTTGTTCTATAGATTCCTCTCAATTCAAATTTTAAAAGGATTAAACAGATTATAGGTAAAAATGCTTTTTTCCCCATAAACTTCAGCATAGCAGAGTGAACTCTACTAAAATTCACTTATTTCAAAGACGTTCTAAATATCTGATTTTTTATCTGATCAAAAGTACACTATAATTAGAATGTTTATACTTCAATGACCCCAAAATAGCAAATAAGTGTAGAAAGGAGTTGTTCAAATAATTGTTTTGAATAACACAATAATAGCTATAATCTTAGAGAAAATATGCAAAATGAATTGGAATATGGAAAATATTTAGATAGCTACATAAAAAATAAAATATCCACTTGACTCAGTGATAATATTGTGGGAATTCTTCTCTTGGATTTGTGTTATTATAATATTTTCAGTAAAGTAATATTTTTAAATAAGAAAAATAAAAACAACCCAAAATTCTAGCTCATTGTTAATTAAAGTTATAAGGAAAGATGCTTAATTTTTTTCAAGATACAATAAGCTAAGTGGGTGTTCATGAGTGTTCTTACGTATTGGTCATTGTGTGTTATATTGTAACACTAGCTTTTATTAGTCTATTTCTATAATGTTTTTGTTATTATTTTCCTTTTCTCACATGGTCTCCATGTCCTAAGCAAGAATCCTATAAAGCAAACACAAGAGCACAATAAAGAAAATTACTAAATATTTGAGTAAATAATAAGGGTAAATTGTTATCTTTAGTCAACTATACAGCCTAATAGAAAATGTAAGATGTAAAAAAGGAAGCACCAGGAGAATTGAGCCTGTTATTCTAATACACTCTTCTTAAGACAACATCTTTTGGGATGATGTCCTTCACTTGAATTCTTTGTTGGTGCTAGGATCTTTTTCCAGCATAAAATTACTGATGTGTTTTGTTTGGATTTTCTTTTAGAGGGGAAGGGTTGTGGAAGGGACTGAAACTGTGTGTTATAGAAATTGTTGATTTTCCAAAGAGATGGAAACACTCCTCTTCAAAACAGTTTCTCACAAATCTTAAGGAGAGAAATAATGGGAAACCTGAGTTGAATCTAAACTTATAACAGTTTTTTGCCATGGTTTAAAGTTGAAAACTCATGTTTAGGGATCCCTGGGTGGCGCAGCGGTTTGGCGCCTGCCTTTGGCCCAGGGCGTGATTCTGGAGACCCCGGATCGAATCCCACGTCGGGCTCCCGGTGCATGGAGCCTGCTTCTCCCTCTGCCTATGTCTCTGCCTCTTTCTCTCTCTCTGTGTGACTATCATAAAATAAATAAAAATTTAAAAAAAAGAAAACTCACGTTTAAATTCATAATTAAAGACATTCCATGCTCATGGATTTAAAGCACAAATATTGTTAAAATGTCTATACCAGCAAAAGCAATCTACATATTTAATGAAATCCTATCAATATACCATCAGCATTTTTCACAGTGCTAGAATAAGCAATCCCCAATTTTGTATGGAACCACAAAGACCCCAAATAGCCAAAGCAATCTTGCAAAAGAAAAGCAAGTCGGGAGCCATCACAATTCTGGACTTCTAGTTATGTTACAAAGCTATAGTGATCAAAACAGTATGGTACTGGCACAAAAAGAGGCACATAGATCAATGGAACAGAATAGAAAACCCAGAAATGAACTACAACTCTATAGTCAATCTTCAACAAAGCAGGAAAGAATAGCTAATAGAAAAAAGTCTATTCAACAAATGTCAGTGGGAAAACTGGACAGCAACACCCAAAAGAGTGAAACTGAAGCACTTTCTTATACCATACACAAAAATAAATTCAAATTGATTAAAGACTAAATGTGAGACCTGAAATCATAAAAATCCTAAAGGAGAAAACAGGCAGTAACCTCTCTTTAGATATGTCTCTTAAGGAAAATAAAGCAAAATAAACTATTGGGACTTCATCAAGATAAAAAGATCCTGTACAGTGAAGGAAACAATCAACAAAACTAAAAGACAACCTTTAGAATAGGAGAAGATATTTGCAAATGACATATCTGATAAAGAGTCAGTATCGAAAATATGTAAAGACCTTATACTACTCAATACCCCAAAAATGAATAATCCAATTTAAAAATGAGCAGAATACATGAATAGAAATTTTTCCAAAGAAGACATACAGTCTTCTAGTAATTCAAATGGTTACATGCACCCCAATATGTATAGCAGCATTATCTACAACAGTCAAATTATGGAGATGGTCCAAGTGTCCATTGATTGATGAATGGATAAAGAAGAGGTGGTGTGTGTGTGTATATATATGTGTGTACATACACATATATATGTATGTACATATACATATACACACATATATATACAATAAGCTAAGCAGGTGTTCACAAATGTGAACTTGATTCTGTAATTTGTGATTATGGAGACAGCACATTTTCAACGTTTTGTGGCACAACGTATCACAAAAAGCCATTTTATGACTCCCTGGTCATTAAAATCTTAATTATTGCTGGAGCAATGAAAAGAATTCTGCCTACTACCTGGAGATAATGTGATCTTTATGTTGGAGTTTAATGGAGTAAGGATAGAGGCCAAACACAACATAGTCCTGCATTTTATTCGACTCTGTGATCATTTAGTACTGTAATGGGAATCCAGTACAGCTGTCAATTCTCAATTTTTATAATTAACTCAGGAAAGTATGCAACCCTATATCTTATTTCCTAAGCAGAAATGGTATAGCGAATTATTTTTTATATTAAAAAAAAGTATGAGAGTTATTTCTGCCTAGGTGATTACCTCCTGCTTTGATTTTGGGATCAGCAGTCTAAAATTAATATTTTTTATAATAAATTTATTTTTTTATTGGTGTTCAATTTACCAACATACAGAATAACACCCAGTGCTCATCCCATCGAGTGCCCCCCTCACTGCCCGTCACCCATTCACCCCCACCCCCCGGCCTCCTCCCCTTCCAGCACCCCTAGTTCCTTTCCCAGAGTTAGAAATCTTTATGTTCTGTCTCCCTTTCTGATATTTCCTACCCATTTCTTCTCCCTTCCCTTCTATTCCCTTTCACTATTATTTATATTCCCCAAATGTATGAGAACATATAATGTTAAGATAATAAAGCAAAGTTTTAAAATAAAAATATGAAAAACATTTTTTTTTTTTTTTTTAAAGAATCTTGGCACAGAGGGAGCGGGAAGTGGGAAGTTACTTATCAGGGTTCCGGGTTTCCTCACGCCCCGCCCGCCCAACCACAGGCTAAATGGTTTTCGTCCTTGGGTCGGTTTGTCCTGCGAAGAGCAATCCACGTCCACGGTCCCCGCTCTGCCCGCCCGCTGCGCATCTGCCCTTCTCCTCTGACTCCGCCCCGCATCTGTCCGGAACCGCCTCCCGCCTGAGCTGACCCAGTGCGTGTCTGCCAGTCAGTCCCTCCGGACCTGCCGCGAGTCTCAGACTGCCGAAATTACCGCGCGTCTCTCGGTCCGTACCCGGTGGGCATCTGGGGTATCTGGGCGGTCTCCCGTCCCCAGCGCGTGTGTCTGTCTGTCTGTTTCTCTGTCTGATCCGCCGTCTGCAGCCTGCCTTCCGGCCCCAGCGCACCAAGTGTTTAGTCTGCCCTTTCGCTGACGCTGAGTGTGTTTAGCGGCCTTAGTTAGCTGCGAGCCCGCCTGAGACCGGCCGAGCAGCCGGCGGAGGAATACACGGTTGGCCCCTGCCCATGTTAATAGAATTTTAAGCCAACAGGAGGTCGAGGCCTATGTTAATGCAGAAAACAGGTCTCCAGGCCTCTGTCGGCAATGCTGGATGTGGGGTGCCAGCCAGCTGCTTGATGATTTCTTACAATTAAATGGGGAACAGGAAATTTCTTTACTACTGGCTTTCGAAACAGATTTTAAATCTTAAATTAGAAGTTCCCTTAGGTAGAACAGATTTGTTATTGGGATGCATTTTTGTCTGATGTGTTTGTTCTGAGCCTGCTGACCAGCTGTTTCTGAACTTCATTTTCTCAGAGCTTCCTTCTCCTTGGCTTTCTTCTGTTTGTGAACAGCTGCTTGGCCCATAGCTTAGAGAAATCGGCCTTTTTTCTCTCCCAAGAGAGCCACCTCCCTGTACTCAGAAAGATGGGAAGTGGAGAGCCTAACCCTGCTGGCAAGAAAAAGAAGTACCTAAAGGCTGCCCTGTACGTGGGTGACTTGGACCCAGATGTCACGGAGGACATGCTATATAAAAAGTTCAGGCCTGCTGGCCCTCTGCGCTTCACCCGAATCTGCCGTGACCCAGTGACCCGCAGTCCCCTGGGCTATGGCTATGTTAACTTTCGCTTTCCTGCAGATGCTGAGTGGGCCCTGAATACCATGAATTTTGATTTGATTAATGGCAAACCTTTCCGCCTCATGTGGTCTCAGCCAGATGACCGCTTAAGAAAGTCTGGAGTTGGAAATATATTCATTAAAAACCTGGACAAATCCATAGACAATAGGGCCCTTTTTTATTTATTTTCTGCTTTTGGGAACATTCTTTCCTGCAAAGTCGTATGCGATGACAATGGCTCCAAGGGTTATGCCTATGTGCACTTTGACAGCCTGGCTGCTGCCAATAGAGCCATCTGGCACATGAATGGAGTGCGGCTTAACAATCGCCAGGTGTATGTTGGCAGATTCAAATTCCCAGAAGAGCGAGCAGCTGAAGTCAGAACCAGGGATAGAGCAACTTTCACCAATGTTTTTGTTAAAAACTTTGGAGATGACATGGATGATGAAAAACTGAAGGAAATATTTAGTGGATATGGGCCAACTGAGAGTGTTAAGGTAATAAGAGATGCCAGTGGGAAATCAAAGGGCTTTGGCTTTGTGAGGTATGAGACACACGAGGCTGCCCAAAAGGCTGTGTTAGACCTGCATGGAAAGTCCATCAATGGGAAAGTTCTATATGTAGGGCGAGCACAGAAGAAAATTGAACGATTGGCTGAGTTAAGACGAAGATTTGAACGGCTGAGATTAAAAGAAAAAAGTCGGCCTCCTGGGGTGCCTATTTATATTAAGAACCTGGATGAGACCATCGATGATGAAAAACTGAAGGAGGAATTTTCTTCCTTTGGATCAATTAGCCGGGCCAAAGTGATGGTGGAAGTAGGGCAAAGCAAAGGGTTTGGTGTTGTCTGCTTCTCCTCTTTTGAAGATGCTACAAAAGCAGTGGATGAGATGAATGGTCGCACAGTGGGCTCCAAGCCCCTGCACGTCACCCTGGGCCAGGCCAGGTGCAGGTGGTGAGAATAAGAATGCTCAATTTGTTTCATCCTTAAGCTGGTGCCTACTTAGTTTGGGCTATTTTGTGATAAGAGGTTATTTTATGCCAGTTTTTTTTAAGTGAATATTTTCTTTTGAGAAAACAAACTAGAAAACTTTGTTCATTTTAGTGAAGAACATAATTTCTAATTGTGAAACTGTCATTTTGTACTATTTTTTGATAAAATATCCTTAGGAATATGTAGAATAAAATTCATCCCTCCACATACCTCCCCCCCCCCAAATCAGTCCAGGTAAGGTAATTGAGTAGAGTTCCTTATTTCAATTATAATACTAAATGTAATTGCTTCAATGAAAATATTCTCAAAATGGACCTGATTTCTGAATGTATCACACAGAAAACTTCTAATTTGCTTTGTGAGAAATCAATATAGCAGGGGAAAATGTATGCGATCCAATTAACATTTGTGCATAATTTTACTTTATTATTTAAAATGAATGTTATTTTAAGGAAATGTGAGTTTCTTTATTTATACATTTTTTCCCCTTTACTAACATATTGTGGGCATACCACAAAGTTGACAGTGGCTTTGACTAAGTGTTGGAAGTTTTCTTAACTTCATGCCCAGAGAAATAAACATATTGGTGTTTTCTCAATCAGTACCTTAGGAAATTAACACTTTAAGCATTATTAAAAAGATGAGTTTCATCTTAAAGATATTTCCTGAGAGATTTAATATATTAGGACAGTCCAAGGAGCATTCTTGCCACTCATTTTTCTAACTCCTTAGTAGTAGAGATGGGTCATGTTAAATTAATGAAAAAGATGAATAACTGCAGTGAATTGTCTTTACTTATAGATAATTTTAAAATCTTACCTCAGTCTCCATAAACTGTCAATATAAAGGATAAATCATCCATATAGTGATGTTGGAAAACTAATTTGAAGAATATCTTCTACTAAGCTTGTCATTATCTCTTGTAAATTTTTAATACATCCATGTGATAATATTCACATCTGTATCAAAATTAAGGAAAAGCTTGTCTCTCTTGATTAAATCACATGCTTCCATCTATTATATGAAAGCTATTAATTCAGTATGGTTCTCTTTATGTCTGGCTGCTTGGAAGTTGTGACAAAATGTTGTGTTCTATATTGCAGTTACATTATTTAGCCTGTAATTTCTAGATTACAAATTTTCCATATTTTACTTCTAGTCCCCACTTTTCCCCACCATCTACCTTCCATCCGTATTATACTTAGTTTTATGTTTTCTTTAGGTTGCCTCTCATTTAATATGTGTTTGTTCAAATCCTTTTTGGAAGTAGAGAAATAATTATTTAATTTATGTAAAATGTCAATAATTACTTTTTAAAATACGATTTTTTCATATCACAGATCCAACCATAGAAAATGTATTGTCTCTATTCTTAATTGGCTTTTATTATGTTATATAGAAATTTTAGATTACACACATAATTCAATATAAATAAATAATTTTGTTAATGCTTTTGTTAGCTATTTGCCCATAAAATAATGAGAAAAAGCTGTTTTGGTGTAATTGTGTACCTACAAATTACACTTATATTCATTATAAAATATTTTCAAATGGAAATCACTGTTTTTATTGATCATATACATAATACATGATCATTGCTTTAAAAAAATGTACACAATGCAGACATTTATAAAAAAGCAAAATTCCCACAGTTCAGAGATCACCACTATTAATGTTTTCTGTGTGTACATATACTCCCATGCCTTTTCTCCTCTGTATACACACACTGTTTTACAAACAAATAAAACACTTATGTACTGTGTTTTGTTAAATTTTAAACTAAAACATAATCATTTTTTGTATTTATGTCAATAAATATCAATCTGTATCATCATTTTAGTGACTGCACAGTATTCTATTGTGTGGATGTACTATAGATTATATAAGTAATGCATTATCGAATAAGACTTATATGCTTTACAATGTTTTCTACATCTGTAAACAATGCTGTGATGGCTTAAAACAGTATGAGTTATAGGAGCTTGAGAAAAAGTATATACAGCATGTAAAAGCTTAAGTCTACTAGAAAAATTAAAATGCACATTATATTGATATATGTGTCAAAATTCTGAAAAAATCATTCAAGATATATCCTTTACTGAAACTCACAAAAGTAAAAGTAAACACTATTTTTTCGTATTTTCTGATCCCACTTGTTTTATAGCATTATCATTAAAATATATGAAAACAATGCAAACTGCAATAAATGTGAAATAGTTACTTTGGTAACTATTTACTATATGCACTTTCTATTCCTTTTTACACATTACCAGTTTTTATTTAAATTTATAAACTTGAAGTGTTAGTGTTAAAACATTTACAAATGTTTTGATTCAGTATAAATCATGAAAAATTACTAGAAGGTAAAATCTTCAAGTATAATCATTCAATACATTTTGGGAAATTATTTAAGTATTTAAATAATTACTATTTTCAAAAAGTTAGCCAGTATAAAGAAGTAATTAAAATATGCCCAGGTACAGATAAAACATACATGTTAGGACACTGAAAAATAGTTTAAAAACTCTAAATTTAGTTGGTAAAAAGGAGAAAAAGATAAAGGAAAGATAATCTCTATTTGAACACAAACACTTAGGCAGCTTTCCAATCTCATTCTTTTTGTTTTTAACTACATTTAATAGACTAAATTAAAGCTTCCAAGGGTGAACAAGACAACTAAACAGCTTAAATTGGTGAAAAGGCATTAAAAATAGGATATTGTTCATTTCCTAGCACAAGATAATAATTTTTTTAGATTTTATTTATTTATTCATGAGGCACACAGAAAGAGAGAGGCAGACATAGGCAGAGGGAGAAGCAGGCTCCATGCAGGGAGCCCGATGTGGGACTCGATCTCGGGACTCCAGGATCACATGGTGGGCCAAAGGCAGGTGCTCAACTGCTGAGCCACCCAGGCGTCCCTAGAACAAGATAATTAGTAAAAATTAATAAACAATACTATCAGTGGTTATGGTAAACTTAAGAATGGACTGTTTAACACAAGTTTTGTTTGTTGTTCTTCCTTTTTTTTCTAGCTTTTCAAAAAAAGTCACTGTACAAACTTCAAATATGCCCAGGGAGAAGAAAATTAAGGATATTGCTTTGTGGGTTGCCTGGGTGGAGCAGTAGCTTGAGTATCCAACTCCTGGTTTTGGCTCAAGTCATGATCTCAGGATCCTGGGATAGAACCCTGCCCTGGGCTCTGTGCTCAGGGCAGAGTCTGCTTAACTTTCTCTCTCCCTCTTCATTCCCCCCCCCTGCTCTCTCTCTCTTTCTTTCTCTCTTTAAAATAAATACATCTTAAAAAAAGAATGTTGCTTTGCTATTGTAAACCATCATATTAAAGGTTGTTTTGGTGAGACTTTTCTGTACAGAAAACTTCATACATACTGATGCCTTTTGGGTTGTATCTGTGGTTAAGGGGGAAAGTAAAATGTTACATGTGCAAGATATTTTCAGAACAAGAGAAAAATAACTAATAATAACTATGTCTTTAAGGGAATATTCAAGAATGGTGTGAATACCATCCTACCTATAAAGAGATGGATGAACTTAAGGGAATATTTAGAAATGTATGAATAAATGACTGAGTATAGATGATACATGCATTCCCAGCACCTACAGTAATATCAAAAATACAATTGGCATCCCATGATTACCTGTTGAATTATCCTTCCATTTGTTTGGGTTTCAATTCTCTTCTCAGAATTTCACAAGAGAAATGAATTATTATAGAATAAACTGTTTTTATTAAATTTCATCCCATGAAGAAACAATTGAGATCTGATTCGTTACGTAGATTGGGACTTCTAATATAGTGTTACTGGTGACATAGACTAGTGTTTATACCATTAAGTTGTTATCAATACTTTTTTACTTATCATTTCTTTTTCATTATTGTTCAACAATTGATTGATGAGTTTATCTTATAGCTTCCAGTAATCGGCATAACTCAAAAGAAAATCTATTGGTAGAGAAACAGTTTTTGAATCAATTAATGGGATGTTGCTTCAAGACCAAAACTATTCCACAAAGCCTTGCTCCTATATTAAATCAATTGATCACAATAATCCCTGAAAGACTAATGCATATGTATGTGAAATTAATTCTTTCTTACATATTTTAGGATGTTACTTTCCATGAAGTATGACTTAACAAATGGTTTCTTGGAGCTTCAAGAGAGTTAATGTATTCCACTTGGCTCCAAAGGATCAGGGTCGGTAGTTAGAAACAATCTAGCTACCATTGGAAATCTGAGAAAACCTAACTCAATGTACAAATGTTGAAAATATAATTACTATGAAACTTAAAAAAAAAAAGCTAACCTCATGTACTTTCACCCTCAAAAGTCAGTCTAATTTAAAAGATTTCCCATTTGGCAATCAAAAATGATCAGTGCTTTCATTCAATTTTTCAACAAAAGTTTGCAGTCTTTTTATTTTATTTAATTAAAAAATAGTTCTTTAGAGAGACTTGCAAGAAAAGAGATGAGTGATGATGTTATATGTCACGGCTGTCTCAGAGTAAATTAGTTTCTTTGTTTTAGAACCAGTAAGGGGAATATCAGATGTTGGCATCTTCTGCATAAAAATAAGCCTTCTATAATGTAAAATAAATAATTTTACAAGTTTTGAGATTGATTTAAAACGTCCAAAAGTGTAAATTACATTTTTGGAAAATCAAGAACTTTTTAAATCAATATTTAGGATCATTTAAAAATTAATTTTAAGCAAATTTAAAGAAGATGGCAAATGACTCCTTTTTTAAGTAAAATTGACATACCAATTATATTAGTTTCAGGTGCACAACATTGATTCAACAATTTTGTACATTACTCAGTGCTCACCATGGTAAGTGCAGTCACCATCTGTCATGGAACAATGTTATTACAATATTATTGACTATATTCCCTATGCTGTACTTTTCATCTTCAGGACTTACTTTATAACTGGCAGTTTGTAGCTCTTAATCCCCTTCATCTATTTACCCATATCCCCTCTGGCAACCACCAGTTAGTTCTCTGTATTTAATAGTGCATTTGTTTTTTTATTTGTTTGGGTTTTTTTTATAGATTCCACAGATAAGTGAAATCATATGGTATTTGTCTGATTTACTTCACTTAGTGTAATACTCTCTAGGTTCATGCCTTTTGTTGCAAAAGGCAAGGTCTCGTTATTTTTATGACTGAGTAATATTCTGTTGTGTATATATACCACATCTTTATCCATTCATATATTGATGGACACCTGGGTTGCTTCCATATCTTGGGTATTATAAATAATGCTGAAATAAATATAGAGTGCATTTATCTTTTGGAACTAGCATTTTCATTTTCTTTGGGTGCAAATAACTCTTATTTTTTTGTTTCAAGTTTTTATTTAAATTCCAGTTATTTAACATATAGTGTAATTTTAGTTTCAGAGAGAATTTAGTGATTCATCACACACATATAATACCCAGTGCTCATCAAAGCAAGTGCCCTCCTTAATACCCAACACCCATTTAACCCATCTCACTGCTCATCTCCCTTCCAGCTACCCACAGTTTGTTCTCTATAGTTAAGAGTCTGTTGTGTGGTTTGATTCTCTTTTTTCCTCTTATGTTCATCTGTTTTGTTTCTTAAGTTCCACATGTGAGTTAAATCATATGGTAGTTGTCTTTCTCTGGCTTATTTCACTTAGCATAATACTTTCTAGCACCACCTACATCATTGAAAATGGCAAGATTTCATTGATTTTGATGGCTGAGTAATATTCCATTGTATGTATATATAACACTTCTTCTTTATCCATTCATTACTTGATGGACATTTGGGCTCTTTCCATAACTTGGTTATTGTTGATAATGCTGCTATAAACATTACACATTACGTACATGTGTCCCTTCAAATCAGTATTTTTGTATCCTTGGGTAAATACCTACTAGTGCAATTGCTAGATCATAGAGTAGTTCCATTTTTAACTTTTTGAGGAAACTCCATACTGTTTTCTAGTGTCTGCACGAGTTTGCATTCCTACTAAAGTGTAAGAGGGTTCCCCTTTCTCCACATTCTTGCCAACATCTGTTATTTCCTTTGTTTTAAATCACCTTTCTGAGGATTTGGGGCAGACTACGTCCCTGAATAGAACAAACAGAATTTGCAAGCTTTTCTTCTCCAGTGCTTTAGGAAATAGAAAATATATCCCTAATTGATTTTATTGCAGAGAAATATCATATGTTAGTTTCCCTAAATAAAGGAGTAAATAGATACTTTTTGTGATGAAGGGAAGATTTATTATATTATGGTAGGAATAATGACAAAGTAATGAAAGTCAAGATGATGAATACATTTCTCTATTCATTAAAGATTTTTTTAATATATGAGGCTTGTAAATTTAACAAAGAACAATTTAAAGAGGGACATACATAAATAAAGAGTAATTTAAATGTTATAAACATTTAAGAGTAAAGGCAGGAAATATCTGCCTAGCTTGATATCTATTTTAAGGTGAAGCATCATGAATAGTTTTCATTTAGTTTCTATGGTTCCTTTTTTTAAAGATTTGTTTATTTATTTGTTTATTTTAGAGAGAGAGACAGAGAGAATACAATTGTGAAGGGCAGAAGGAGAGGAAGAGAATCTCAATCAGACTCTGAGCTGAGTGTGGAGCCCCATGGGGACTCAGTCTCATGACCCTGAGATCATGACCTGAGCCAAAACCAAGAGTTAGATGCTTAATCAACTGTGCCACCCAAGTGTCCCTGTATGATTATTCTTAACATTGATTTGACTACTAAAGTAATAGTAACCCTTAGGAACATTTCATTTGTAAGTGAATATCTTTAAAAAAATCATCAGTGCTAATCGGCTTCTCTCTATTCTCTCACCTCCATTACCTACTCTTAACTTCATCCTTTACAGAACACAGAAGATTTTATAAGGCATTTTTAGTTTACATACTTTGTCTAAACATTACCTCAAAAATGTCTAATAGATGTGTGTGCATGTGATATTGTACCACTTGATTGAAACAAAATTTCAGGACTTGAATGTAAGCCACAGTAGATGGTAGGACATGTACTGTTTATATATGGATTAATGTATCTAGGTGAAGATATTCTTTTTTAAAGAAATGTAA